ATATCACTATAAATTTAATACACAACAAATGACATATACAACAGTAGAACTCCCAAATACAATAATAGAAGAAGAAATTTAATTTTTCGATTTATTAAATCTTCTCCTTTGTGTGATTTATTATTACAACAACAAAGCTTATTACACCTCTCCTTAAATTTGGAGTTTCATACTGATGGATCACTTATAGATCTAAGTAAAGAAACAATGAAAATGGGCATTGCTTATATTCAAACACATCCAAGCTCTCCCCCATTGGAATTTGGAGCATCAATAAAAAAAAATTGGCCTTCTGCAACATGTGCTGAAATGGCTGCTGTAACAGCTGCATTATTAATTGCACCTAAAGACTCCAAGGTTACTATTTGCACAGATAGTAAATCAACAATAGATCAATTTAACAGATCTTTTAAGGAGCAATGCTATACATATCCTTGTAGTATATTTAAAGAAAAAAATCGCATCTTTTGGTCAATATTACATGATGTTATCAGAATCAATAATATTACATTATCATTTAGAAAGATAAAAGCACATACCAGAAACATATATAATGAAAGAGTGGATACTCTTGCTAAAGATGCTTTAAATCTCCCCATTCTTTCCTTTATCACTACATCTTCTTATATTAAATATGAGCCAAAGTGGAAAAACATAATTATTGATACTCATCTACGACATTTTATCAAACATACCTCATATAATAAAGGTTTTGCAAAATGGTATAACTTATATAGAAATAGAAAATATCGAGAATGCAACATAGACTGGAGTAATACTTTTTTTTCATTGAATAATGATGAAATTTCTAATGAAACATCCTTTCACAATTCCAATCGCAAAGCTTCCAAAGTCAAATTTATGCTAGAAGAAATTCCAACATTAGAGCATATTAAAAAAAGAAGACTAGATTTATATAAACATTGGGATTGTCTTCTCTGCCACAATGAAAAAGAAGATTTCAACCATGTCTGGTCTTGTCCTCAAAACAGACAGAAAGTACAACAAATCAGTCATGAAACAAAAGAAGAACTTTGCACTCAAATCAATAATAATAATAATAATAAAAACAAAAACAACATCAATTCCCCTATTCTCATGGAACATAGTACTATATGGTCTGTTGATAATGATCTGAATAATTTCACTTTCATTGACATGATCAAAGGTTTTGTTCCTACTTTTATTACCAACAAAATACAAAATTATACCACAAACTCAAAAATCACTACTCAAATCACATCTATCATTATGAACAATATATATTTAAAAATCATGGAACGCATTTGGAAACCCAGATGTGAAAAAATGATTAAATTAGAAATTTCTTTAAATATTACTAAAAAAGAAAAGTTAAAAAAGAAATACAACAAAAATTCCACCAATAATTCCTCTAGTAGTCTCAATAGAGATACAAATAACTTATCAAATGGTTCTGAGGGTTTAGAACATGCAATTACATCAGGTGGCATTCTTTTGGATTATTACAATGGGTAATAACCATTTACTTTTTATCTATGTTTGAATGTCAGGTGTTAAATCTTAATACCTTTTGGGGCCTGGTTTAGTAGGTAACGGTGAAAGGTTGGTTTCATGGTGAACTTTATCAGTTTACTAGGGGGCAGTCATTTTCTTTTTTTTGTGTAACTCATGTATTTTCATTGTTTTACAATTAATAAAATTATGTGACATTACCTCATCGTAAAAAAAAAAAAAAAAAAATAATTACAATTATGTTTATGATTTTTGGAAAAACCATTATATTTGTTATTTTTAAAAATTCAAAAGTTAAAAAATGTGATAATATTAATATATATTTTGTGATAACATGTCTAAGGATTTTGTAGTTTTTAACATTTTGAATAAATTAAAATTTGTCAAATATATATTTTGTTTTGGCTTTGAAATGACTAATAATCAAAGTAATCACAGGTATAAAATGTAATCAATAGATAGATCAATTTAATTTTCAACTACCAAACAATTAATTAATTTAACTAATAGAAAATAAGACAAGAGGTTTATTAAATATAGACAGTTTAGATTATATATGTGGCTGAAACCTCTTAATGACCAAATCTGAAAGTCCAGAAGAGTGTATTAATATACTGGTTCCGTATTCTGTACATCTGCACCTCTGTAGTATGGAATCGAAGATTGTACAGACTGGCCCCACCAATCAATTTTTCAGTCTGTACAAAAATTAAAAAAATAAAAATAAAAATAAAAAATGTATGGAACAAAAAAGAATAGTGTATGGAATTGAAAGTTCTACAGATTCTCTACTGACTGGTAATTTGCCAATTTAAAACAAGTGATCTAAGTTTGATTGAGTTAAGCAATCTTTATTATTCACCAAAAGTTTCAGAATCAGATGACTTGTCATTATAATGGTAAAAATGTATGTGTACTCTGTCATCAAACAGCCATTCCAAAGGTTTTATTTCTTGTGTGATAATATTAAAAAATCAGCAAAGACTTTTCTAAATCACAACTTTGGGTGAAACTAAAGAATTCAGGACTTATTCAATCTTGGTGTTAAAGCTCATCAAAAGAATTGGAACATATTGAGGTTAAGTGGCAGGTTAAATACCAAGACATTATTTTGTATATATTATTCATTTATTGTTAATTATTAATATGTTTATTTTTTATGAAAATCATTATACTTTTTTTTAATAATTCAAGAAAAATGCACTAAGGAAGGTTGGAACAAAAATGGCCAAACAGAATAGTTAAGTGAAGTAAATGTATGGTGAGTATTGTATGCTTTGTTTATATATAACTCTTAATTATTTTTGCACAATGTAAAATCCTAGGTTTCTATCTTAGTGTGCAATTTTAAATTACTCAAAAAGACCAAAAATTAAAGGACTGAATTGAAAATGACTTGAAGAAGTAAATACATAGTATGTTTTATATATAGTCATTAATTATTTTTGCATAACAATAACCCTTAAATTTATATCTTACTGTGAAATTAATAAAGACTTTCAAAAATGGCAATGAACTTCTATAATATCATCTGGAATTATTTAATGAGATTTCACTGGTACAGAATTAAAGGCATTTAAAATATTTCCTGAAAACCTTTCCAAGTGTAATTTCAGTGTTATCTAGCATATCATTAGCAGCCCTGGTACATTTCCATGTAGTTGAGTTCACCATGAAGTTTTGGGTAGAATATTAAATTGCTTCAATGAAAAGTGCACAGAAAAACAGTGTGCTTTTCATATGTTTTCCAAGCATGATTTTTTATAGACAACTTGGATTGCTGAGATTTGCCTCACACAACAAGTCAAAGGTTCAAGAGAAGCTTATAAGAAGAAAATAATAATGAAGGGTAGTTTATTTTTATTGCAATCAAATATAAATATATACTAAACATTTGTTTTACAGAATGCTTTTAGGCCAGCCCTCCATAATCCTCTTTCCTCCAACATTATCTTCATTGCTTACATAATTTATCATCTGTGTAATTATTTGGAAATACCATAAACAGTGTCTCTCATAATTGGCTGTTTTTTCTGGATTACAAATGATATTTATTGTATCTCAAAAATTGGTATGGCTTTAACAATCTATAAAATAATAAGTCAAGTTAATTACTATTCTTTATCTTTTTTCTTATTTTATCTATTAGCCATTCAAAAAACAATCAGATTCTTTCCAGGTCATGTGATGACTTGAGCATCATGAAAAACATTTTCACTAAACTCTAATTTTTTATCTGACAATTTAAGTTTACTGATTGTTTTATTAAAAGTCACCATGCATTTATTTAACTTTAAAATAAATTGAAAAAAATAATTAAACTACCATTTCATGCATGAATTCTAAAAATATCTTTATATATTCTGTAACATCTTCACACTCATGATAAACTCATTTGGCCAATTTAGAATAAAATTAATACCGTCTTTTTAAGCATAAGAAAATATTATTACCATATTTTTGTTTTATTTTCAATTCCAACCAACATTTGATAAAATTTAATCTAACATTGTTATCAAATTATTCTAATGTGCATGCTTACATTTTGAGACATCACCTTATTCTAAAAAAAGTCTTTGACTCAGCTTCTTGATGTCTGATCGGGTATTGTGTCAATTAGTGTTAATTAGTTCTTTTAATAACTTTAGGTTCACTTAACAGCAAACAGCACCAAAATGGTTATTAGTTAAATTGATACCAATTCCTATTAATTAGATTTATAGAATCCAATTCATGTCAATTTGAAATTAGAATGATGTCATAAGAATGAATTGAATACTTTTTTACTACTTACATTCCGATATAATATTTGAAACAACTAAGATCAATTAATTTACATGTT